CTAACAGCACGAGTTCGATGACGACGGTTTGAAGAGGAGAAGAGGTTCGAGGTTACGGTACGCTCAAAACGTGTTCGATGACAGCCTCATTATTGTTAAACCAAAAAATGCAAAAAGTGCATTATGCTTCTAAGCCAACTTGGAACAAATATTGTAAAATGATGGATGGTTAATAAGCTAGCAAAATGGTTGCAACTCCAGGAGATTGCAGGCGATTGGCAGTTGGAGGTATCACGAATACGTGTGTGTGGGCGTAGGTCAGGGATAATTAGAAATTATAATACGATGGAAATAGATGTATGCTTCGGGCCAGCTACAAATGAAAACGAAAGAATAGCAGAATATGAATTCTGTCTTCTAAAAACAACAAGAAAAAAATCTTTTTTTTTGCTTTATTGATCTTAAAAAAATGAAATACAAAAATTAAATATAATTCTTCAAGTGTTTTTGTTTATTAAATTCATTTTTTTTAACTTAATTGTCTATTACTTAAGCTTACGTACTACTATAATTATTTTCAACAAATTCAATTCAATTTTATGTAAGATTTACATTGAAGTCTGGATTAACTCTAATGACTAGATACATATATACAATATCATAATACAACTTAGTTGTATTAAAATTCAGAATGAAGAAAAGTATTTAGTTTTAAATAGACATCAACCTAATTTTCAACAGGTTCAATCGTGCATGTATGAACATGACAAACAGAAATGTGTTTGCCGAAATTTTATGACCTCTTACTGATAAACAGGTATCGCTCATTTAATGTCTAAGGATAAGTAACGATTAGTAGGTAGAAAAACAGATGGTCATGTTTACTAACACCAATAAAAGGTCAAAAATAAAAAATGCCATATCACTCAGCTAGAACATTCAATAAACATTTGTTTTATTAATCAAAAATGTATTTAAAATACGATTTAGTTAAATAATTACTTATTTCAATAATTTTTGTTCAAAGAAATATATGATCAGGAATAAAAGTCTAGAAAATACCATTGTCACACTTCGGTGCATAAACCAGGCCACATTATGGAGCACCTTCGCCTCCCGAAGCCCGAAAACGAAGGCGATTGCCATCTTGCCCCCGAATTCCCCATTGAGAAATGCCGCAGGAAAATCTCCTGACCATATCTACTTATAATGTAAATAGCGGCACGCCCATAAAACAATTTGCCCCGTCTTACAAATAACCCAAGAAAGAGGCAGCAACAAATTTAACACTTAATTGTATTAACAGGCACAGACATACAGAAGGGGAGGGATATATATATGTAAGTATAAATAAAAAGGGCATGGGCATGGGTAATCCCAGGCAAAAACCAAATCCGGACGCGTGTCCAGTTTGTTGTTGTTTGCTTAGACAGTTTAGGGCCCGCACAAAGGGCCAATACAAAAAGGGGCTATAAGGCCAAGAAAACAACCCGAGAAGGCAGAGATTGGAACGGACAAAAGATAGGGAGGAGCGCCCCGATTTGATTGATGATTTTATGACATTGTTTACTCAAGTGATGATGAGAGGAGTAAGCAGATAGCCAGCCGGCCATCCTTTGTGTCCTTTCAAGCCGGTGTCGGACTCGGACTCGAACCCGGACCATCCTAATAATTCCCTCGGCCCCCCGGCCACACTTTCCCTTTTTTATGGTCCTTCCCCGGAATGCTATCAATCTTTTGCTTATTAGGGATAATATTACAATTACTTGTAAGTGAGATAAGCCCCAGGGCAGCCGAGAGTCCTTAGTCGGATTTGGGATTCGGGTTTAGCCGGGGCTCGCCTTGGGTTAAGTGTTCAAGTGGTCGCTTTGATCTCGGGATGAGTGCGAGTGTGTTGTGTGTAAACAGATATCGGTTCAAGTGAAGAAGCCAAATGATTGACAAGATATTGTTCGAGAAGGTCTTCCCGACAAAGAGTTCTCCGTTCGGGGAAGAAACGATTTGAGGCGCCGAAGCTGGTTGTTCTAGCTAAAACAGCCGCCAAATAGATTTAATTACATTTTGGAGCCCTTTTGCATACTTATGTAACGCAACTAATTTCATGATTTAATATTGAAAGACTTGAGCTTATATCCAAAGTATTCGATTTAAAAAGGGTCCTATTTGTTTGCATTATGCAATTATATGCATTACATTCAAACTAAATTTGATTTGAATTTTCATCACAGTTTCAGATATTACAGTATTATTAATAAAATATTTGAATACAACGTTTGCAGTGTATTTTCTTTTCATTGAGTAGGCTAATATTCTCCTTCTTTCTAAACTGTTCTATCCCATCTTCAAAACCTCCAAAACTAATGAAACTACTAGCACCTTTTTGGACTCCTCTCACCTGTCTCATCCCCGGTTCAACCTGTTTCAATTTAGTCATAAGCTCTGACATATATACCTGCAGCCAGAAACACCCGCAGGTTTCAGTTGAGCGCTGTGTTTTGTGTTCCGTCGGTTTGGCCAGGAAGCCAGCTGGTTCCATGGTCACTACACCGCCGCATGTCCTTTATCCTTTTGTCCTGGCCTGGTTTGATGATAAATTAGACGGAAAGACATGGGACGTGGATGAAGGCAGGGCAGACAGCACTTGCTGCTCTTTAGTTGGCCTCACCGGCGTTTACCTTTCTTTCGCCTTTCTTCTTCGGGCCCCACTATTTTTTATTGCTATATTATGGTCTTTGGTACCGCCGAGTCCTGACTTGTGCCAAGGATCTCTATGGAAGTTGATGAGTGTTTGTGTTTGCCCAGAAGTTACGGAGCCGATGAGTGGTTACATCACCGGTTAATAGCTCTGTAATTGCCTAGGCAATTCCTCATCCATTTTCTGTACCATTGCAATGTTTATTATACATTTTTAATGAAATTTATAGTGAATAATGATATTTATGATAAAAGTAGTTTATAAAGAAATCAGTGTAAAAACCTAAAAACATTCAGACTTTTGTAAAATAAAATACTTATTTTTTTTGGTTTTTGTAAACAGTTTTATAATTTTCTAATATATTTAAAGCATTACAAAATAATTTCTAATGTATATATTTCAAAGATCCCCATGACACGTGTCAAGGAGCGACAATCCCTAGGCGTATTCCCCATTTGTTCTCGATTTCTCATCAGCTGCTGCGGTTCTCCCCAGCAATAAAAAAAAAATAGATCAACCTTGAACCGCACAACAATAAAAATTAAAACACGTTTTCGATCCATGGAAGGACTTCTTTTTTCCGAAAAGGGGATGGATTTGGTATTTGAACACATGTCAAGCTGTCAATGTTTATCTGTTTTGGGGAAAGGTGCCTATCTGTTCTCTCTCCTTTTCTCCTTCAACTCTCCACGTGAAGTGGCAGCCGTGAATTGAGGATTATCGGGCGTCTTGTTGATTTATGGCTAGGCAAACACACACAAAATGTACCAAAATTCGAGTCAAAATGCGATTGAAAACTGATAAGCCACATAGGATTGTCTCTGAGGGGGTTGTGGACAAAGCAGGGCCAGCGTAATAAAGGTGTAAGATAGGGTGTAAAGGGGGAGCTTAAAGGGGCTGTAAAAGGGGTTGTAAAGGGGGTTATTAGTGTAACTGTCAGCTGGGCGAAAGTGTTGAGTGCACGTCCATCAAACTTGGTCTGCGGTCGGTGGACTGGGATTTGGACTCGAGAGGCATTGCGATATTCCTGGAGTTTGTCATGTTTTGTTGAGACTGTACACGGGCGGAAAAATGTCCTGAAATCATAAACTCCAATTGCTGACAGGAAGGAATTTAGTTCTAACACTAATCTTGATATTGATAAAATAGTTAAAGTAATAAACTTCTTATCTACAAGGTAACTATAGTCTAAGCTTAGTTTTATATTAAATTGTACAAGCAAATACATTTTTTTAGACTTAAACAATATTTATATTTTAAATTTTGTGCAACCATAAAAAAGTAAAAAAAATTATAAAATCAAATCAAATTTGATATACCATCAAAAAGTGTATTGAAAGCAACTGCAAAGCGTCAAGTAAATAGTTTTCCAGTGCACCAAGTGGGTAAGCAATGCTAATGCCTTAATTTACCACTAATTCGTGCTTATCACGCCGCACTCCCCTGACAACTTTGTGCCACATGCTACGCCCGACTTGGGCGGCAGTTGGAGCTGCATCAGAGGAAGCAGGCCTGGGAACGGGGAGTTCCGTGGTGGAGGAGAAGCCCCACTTGCAGCCGATGCAAATCGCTTTAGCAACGCCTGTTTATGGGAAACTGCACTCGGCTAAACAATCTGGAAGCCGGCCAAGCCCCAAGTCTGAAACTGGACATCACTCAAGCATTTATCAAGCATAAGCTCGTTCTGGCGAAGGAATTTGGGTTCTGGGTGCTCGACAGTCTCTTTTTGTGAATTTTGTTGCCATTTCGCAAAGCGATAAGAATGAATTTTTTAAACCGTATAACGGAAACTACAAGTCCAAAGCTCAACAAATTTTGTAGGCCTTAATGTTATTATTTTTTTAAGGTTAAAGTATTATAAATTATTATAAATTATTGCGGGAAAATTTGTAATTTATTTTAATGAACAACAATATTATTTTTTTATGTCGCACAAGACACAAAGCGTCATCGATGCTCCACAGCTGATAATACGAAATTTTTTAATTACATTTGCGTTTATCTTAACCAAATTATAAAGGATTTAGTGCTGCTTAAATTTAAATTTTAAATATTATATATACCATACGATAGTTAACTGCCAGAACTGAGGCATAAATAATCGTTTAACGAAATAAGAAATTAAGTTCTAGTGTACGACGTATTAATGCTAATGATAATGATGGGTCTTCCCCCAAAATAATTCATAGATTTAAAAAATGTCAGAGATCAAATGACACAGATAAGACAATAGCTTCTTGGAAAAAATAAAATGTAGCAAAACCTTCGTTAAAAAAATGTATGAGTATGTGCTTATGCTGATAATGCGAATATATATATGTGTAAAATCAAATGCGGTTTGAGGCGTATAAAAAGAAGCACGTCCCTCTAACAAATAGTCACTTGATATTTCGGCGCAGACATGGGACACTTGTGGATACTCGGAGCTCTTATTTTAGGCTACATCCTTTCGGGTGAAGCCTGTACATGTGTTAATAGCATACAGTGCAGGGAAGTGGAACCATTATATAGTTGGCGAATTTTAGAACACCGTGGCACTACGGCCTGCCCTGCCGGTCAAGTCTGCTGTGCAATTCTCTGGAATGTAGGTTTATACAGATTACTTGTGTTCTTTTTAACATTTGACATTTACATTTAATCATATTTAATTTTATTTATTTAATTATTAGCAGAGTAATGAAAGAAACACTGAAACCCCACCGGTTGTGCCAGTAGTGAGTTTATAAAATTATCTTTTTTGCAAAAGATTTATTGTTGCTTGTTCACAGACATCGCCCAAAACCAATTTCCCTAACTGGGGGACCAAGGACACAGCTGTCGTTCATGCTGCACCACCTTCTACTAAAGGCAAGAGCAATCCATGCGGATTGGATTCCACCAAATTAATCCGGAATGGGTATTCATTGCCTGGTCAGTTTCCCTGGGCGATAGCTTTGTTGCACAACGGTGCTTATTTTGGGGGCGGCTCCCTGATTGCCCCAGGATTTGTGCTCACAGCTGCCCACTTCTTAAGGTACAAGTCCGCACACGAGATTGTGGTCAGAGCTGGCGAATGGAACTTGAACTCCCCGGAGGAGAGTTTTGCCCCTGAGGAACGTGGAGTAGAAAAGATCGTGTCCCATCCGAACTTCGATTTTAAAACTGGTGCCAATAACTTGGCGATTCTACGCCTAAAATCGCCTTTCGAGTTAAAGGATCACATAAGAACTATCTCGATTCCTATGCCACAAAGTTCGTACGATGGACAACGCTGCACGGTTGCCGGTTGGGGTAAGAGAAATTTCGAAGATCTCAATTACTCGGCCGTTCTGAAGAAGGTCGAGTTACCCGTGTTGAGCAGATACGTGTGTGAGTCAAGGTTGCAAAGAGCCAAGCTGGGCTCGAATTATAAGCTGCCTGCGAGTATGATTTGCGCCGGAGGTGAGCTTAACCAGGACACTTGCACCGGAGATGGAGGATCTGCCTTATTCTGCTCTCTCGGAAACGAGAATCCAGATAGCTATGTCCAGGTTGGCATCGTTGGCTGGGGATTGGGCTGTGGACAGAAGGATATTCCCGCAACTTACACAAATGTGGCTGTCTTCAGGGAGTGGATTGAAAACAATATGTTACCTTATATCTATAGAAACGGAGCATTCAAAATTGACAAAACTCGCCAATAAAAGCTGGTTTTAATTTGCATTTAAATTCAGACATATAAAAAAGGCTTAAATAAATGTATAAATAAATATGTAAGTTATGTGTCGAAACGAATTCTATATATTTCATTTTGTATTCGATATACCAAATATTTCGATCTTAATCTTAATTTGAATAAATTATATGATCATCTTTGCTGGACCATTTAATTAAGTTTCTTACTGAGATTTGAGAAAGAACCACGGTATTCAAACAAGTTGAAGTTTAAGCAAACGATTTGCAAACACTCAAATGTATTTGAGCCATTAAAGTGTCTTTGTTTGTTTTTCTGTGTAAGCCTCTTAATCAACTTTATTAATATTAATAAGCTGGAGAGCAGGCAGAAGAAGGAGAGGCGAGAAACAATGCTAAAACATTCGTCAACAATTATACAATTACACTCCAGGCCAAATTGCCCGGAGAGAAGCTGAGAAACGGAGCTCTTAATGGTAATTCACTTAAATAATCATTAGTCAAACAATTTCAGGGGCCACCAACAAGAGCAACAACCCTTTCCCCTGGAACCGCAAAAAGTGGAATAATGTGGGGAATAATGTATTCTTTTTCTTTCTCTTGTTGTTGTGCTTCTTATTTATAGGTCGAAATTCGGCCAGGAATTGTATTTTATGCCCTTTGGGGGTTGCTTCCTGGTCCTGAACTTTGGTTTTGTGTTGGGCTTTGGGCTTGCAGAGGCCACTCCAATTGAAATTCAAGGGCTCACTTCATTCCCACTTAATTTCGGACGCTGCGACGCAATGAACTCAATCAAAATAATAAAAGTAACAGGGGTTTCCATAAGGAATAATGGGCTTTGAAATATAATTAAAATTCGCAAAGTAACAGTGTATATGCAAGCAAACCAAATATTATAGTCAAGAGATTTTAATTTTCCTAATTATAGCTTTTGGGGAAATTAAGAGCCATTTTTCAGTAGCCCGGGACCATCATCATGTCAAATTCCTTTTGGGTGCAGCACATATCAAAAAACTAACTTGCAATCATTTTGCTATGAGTAACAAAATACGTTTTCCCTCAGTTTTCTTTGGTCAGCAATTATTCAATTATTTCAAAAAGCCATGCCAAACCCAGAAAACCCGGACAAAAGCTCTTTTGTTCTCATTATCAGCAAATTTGGCCTTAAACCGATTCCTGGCAGCCAGACAAACACTTTTCCTTTCCTCGATTGTGTGCACTCGCCTGCCCGCTTCCCGTTTCCATCTCCCACTCACACTCTCATTTCCACCGCCCCTGTCAAGGACATACACACACACATGGGCTGAGTAACCACAGACACGCCCACAGCTGTAACCGCCTCCACCCCCGCTTTTCCTGGGCCAAAGGCACGCGACACACCAAATGACTCAGCAATCGAAAAGTTCAACAAACCTGGGACTGACCATAAACTATAAAAAAAAAACAAAAAACACAAAAACAAAAAACGGAGAGAAGAATGGTAAAGCAGGAATCTAAATAGTGGCAAACATGCATTGGGAATTGACATTTATGACCCGGCATAAAAACCATATTTGTGCCGACCTGGCCATGTGTTGTGGGCCAGCTTGACTTTCGGCTTGGCTTGATTCCTCGTCCTGGTCACGCGTCTGTCTGAGTTTTCCTCCCCTGCCCATCTTGTTAGACATTTTTCGATGAAAGTGAAAAATATGCCCGACCATAAAAAGCAAATATTTGAATTTGAATCGGAAGTATTGACACCCTGGAAAATTATAGGAACTAAACTTATTTATATTAATAAGTGAAATGCTTAAAAAGCTTGTAATATATATTTTAATATTTTTGTATATTGTTAAGTGTATCGATTCGTTCTCTTAAGTTGATTTTTAGATTTCTTAAATAATTTATTTTACATTCTCTACCCGTATAATGAAGTAAAATCAAAACTTTGGTAACAGAAATTTTTGATTATGTTCGACAGATATTTTTTTCAATGTGCTGAATATGCAGTTAGATGTTTCATATAAAATTAATTTTAAGAAAGTTTATAATTAAAATAATTTTAAGAAATTATGGTCAACATGACATTTCAGCCATCCCAGCTCAAAACAAATATTATTTTCTACATATTAAAATTTATATTTCAATAACAACCAATATACCCAACATACTAAAGATAAGTACCCAGAAAAAACTGCAACACAATTCATATTTAAACAGGGCCACAACAATGGAAGTGAGCTGAAAAACCGAAGGCAGACTAACTGCAAATTGTGTGGGTGACTGACTGAAGGAATAAGGAGGGAGCGAGAAAGAGGGGCTGAGGGCGAGAAGGGGAGGGTGCATATGACGTGCCGACAGGGTGTGGTATGTCCTTGTCCATGTCTACCTCCCTAGCCATCACTGCTCTTTCTCGTTCACTCTGCTGTTGTTGTCGTCATGGCATTGCAGACTTAATTAATTTCAGCACGCAAAAAGCTGCAACTGCCACTCAAAAGTTATTCATAATAATCCAAATGATTCATGACAATAAAGTGCACAAATTGAACCGTAATTTTTTGTCCGACTTTTCTCATTGTGGTTTTCATTTGTAAGTGTACAAAAAGTGATTAAAGTTAAATATCAGACATTGTTCCCTTTGTAAATATATATTCAACAATTCTTTTAAAGTCAGTATCCTATTCAAAAAAAAACTTTGTTTTGAGCTATTGTTAATAACAGCAGTACACCTAACAAAAGACTTCTCTGTGTTTTGAAACAACCTATTTTAAATTCTCAAGTTATCAATTTTCTAAATATTCGTGTTTGTAATCAACGAAAAAATATAAGTAAAATATATTAGTATCTTATATTTCTTTAAGATATGTTACAAAGATCTAAAATTTGAAGGTTTCTAAAACGTTTGCATGATCGTTAAAGATCGTTGTTATCTACTTAAAACATACTTTTCGTTATTAATTTTGTACCATTATAAACTATCTCAAAGTTGTCATCAATACAGTCTCAAGTAAACTGATATACCACACTTTGGCCAGCATTTTCATCCATCATTTCGTATTACACAACATGTGCAAAATTAAAAATAAAACACAAAACCGATCCCGTCAGAGGAGGGAGCACATTTTTACGGTAATTTAGTGCAGAGGCTTGACCAGACCCGAAAAAAAGAAGAAAAAAGGTGTTCAACACCCGACATTTGTTCAGCTTCGGTAGCGACGGCAGCTGCCACTGAAATTAAATCCTCCAATCAATTTAAAACGCAACGAAAATAAGAGAAAAAATGTTAAATCCACGAGGGGAACCGGTTCTTATGCAAAGCAGCTTGCATGTAGACTGGTCCGGGTCCCGGGATTCCCCCATTTCCCGCTGACCTGTCTCCGGTCTCCCTTTTCGCCGATACCCAGTCTCAATGTCTCTGTCCCAGTGCAAAAGGTGTTCGTGTGTCGACAACGGCAACAATAAAAACCAATCATGGCCAACAACAAGCTGCACAACAATTGGCAACTGGAGTCGGAACACATTTGTGCACCTGATGATCCGTGGCCAAGACGCGTGCCAAATGTGACAACAAAGGATTTGAATGCACATCGATGGTTGTCTGCAGCAAACGGGGTAGGGCAAACCCATAAACGAGGTAGTAAAGTTGGCTCGGAAAGAAAACTTTAAGAAAAGGGGGTACTTGTGCTTGGTACATATGTCTGACTGAAATGGAAAGTCGAACCTCAGCAGCAGCAGGTTTCCCCATTCAATAAAAATAAAAGCAATATAGCCACACCAAACTGCTGGCTGATGATTATTGCTTATGGGGTGCTAGAGATTTCAATGCACTTTCAGACTGCCACAGAAACATAAGTGGAGAAGAAAGGTAATGGGATTCAAATTCAACAGTTTATGTTTTTAAATGTACTGAAAAGTTTTGGTGTATTTCAAATTTACGTAGAGACAATAAAAAATTCATTTTAGGTAGCTCCCCTTTAAGGGATACTTTGAATAATTGTAGTTCATAATAAAAACTAATTCAAAGCTTGGAAAATAGATTAATGAATATGATTATAAATTTTAAATTTAGAATCTAATTTCTTATTTGCATGATTTCATAAACCTTTTACTGAACTACAAATAACGTTTTTAAAATAGGGAAATAAAAAAAGCGATTTTAAATTTGTCCATTTGTAACTTTAATTTTACTTTTAGCCACTCCACCATTTTTATGTTTCATCTCTGAACTTTCTTTCCATCAATTTGAAATTTGAATAACATTTAATATAAAATTCCATTTCAATTTAATTAGTTTCGATTGACAGCTTATCTGCTTGAATAATTGCCCTGAATTTGTAGAAAAAGCCGATTGTAATTAAGCATATTGCCTTTGCTGTCGTATATAAACCTGTTTTGTTGTAAGCAATTAGTGTGCTTCAGTTTTTAAGCTAATCGTTTCTAAATTAAATTTATTGCCATAAAAAACATGCAAATTCTTTGTATGATTGTAATATGTATGCATACTAACAATGTTCACATATCTAAACGATTTTAGGCTTTTTAAATACCTAATTTGTATTAAAACCTTTATCATGGTAATTGTAAAATAATAAATAATATTTTCAATTTATGCAAGTTGATTAAGGGAATTTCTTTTTGATATGGTTATGACAATATTCAAATATAGTTAATCAGCTTGGATTTCAATTAATAACATTTGCGACCTTTGGGCGGATCACCTGGACATTAAAATAATATTAAAATATATTACGTATGCAGGGCTAGCAGCGATTTGCAGTAAAAAAGTTCGCAGCATTAACAAACCATTAACAAGTTGGGGCTAATAAATTTTTATTATGGCCAATTAAAAGCAAATAAAATCGGCAACAAGGCGGCCGGCCTAAAAAATGAGCACAAATGCCCAACAAATTTCGATTAGTCGAGCGGGGCGAGAACTTTTTGTAAGTGTGTGTGTTTCTTGGTTTTGTCGTATTGCTGGCCACGCCCACTTACCCAACCACCGCCCCCCGCTGCCGGGCACAAGCTCATCAACTCCACTTACACATTTGCGGCGCAAAATGTTGCCACTGTTCGCCGCTGCAGCACGTTGCATTGATTTATTGTGGCTGAATTAGAAGTCAGCAGATAACGAGCCACGAGCGGCCCGCC